GAAGTGACAGTATTTGAAAGGATTATGAGGTGTGGAAGTGTGTCACTGGGGTAGGCCTTAAGATTTCTTTTTTTTCTTATTTGTTTGTTTAATTATTTATTTATTTAACTAAGTGAGAAAGAAAAAGATCAGAGTTAGTCAAAACACTCTTGAAGAACGAGATGGAAAATTTTTCTTCTATCAGACTACAAGGTAGAGTAGCATCTCCATAAGGATAGTAAGTTGACCAAAAGACAGACATTGAGCGATGGGCATCTGTTAAGATGGTACTAGAGAGCAGGGAAGAAAGCACGGTCCTCCTTGTAACTTAGTGCAGTTGGTTATCTCAATCAACCTTTATATGGGGCCCGTGGATTGATCTCAGAATGCAATAAGCCCTTTTAACTTCTCTGTCACCTCTCCAGGCCAGGAAAGCTGTTCTTTGTTGGGTAGGAGTGATACTTATTAACACTGGGTATTAGGTATAAGAGCCTTAATGAGAAGAACCACAGCATTTACACTTTAGTAATTTATCATACCTAGATGTTGGGGGTTGGTCTGATGCTTGTATGATGTTGCCTGGATACACCTACCCTTGTTATATAAACCTATCTGATTGCTGATTAAATGGCCTATACCTTGGGCCAGGCAGATAATTGACCTATGTTGGCCCAATAGCCTCACCATCCATCTCCCAGGCCCCATCAATGCCATCCACCTTAATCCTCCTCATGTGGTCTACCTTCCATCCGTAATCCCATAGTACTTGCTTTTATTCTTCTTCTGGGCCTTTTCACACCATTATTGGAGTCCTTCCTCCCAGCCCACGTTGTTTCTTCTCCATACTAACCCATCGTGGCATCTTCCTTCTTCCTCTCTTCCTGTGTCCGGCTGTTTCCCATCATTCCTAGGCAGGGCAGAATGGGATAGGCATGGCTAAGATTCCCAGGCTTTTGAGAACAGGAGAATGACGTGAAAAGGCCTAGAAGAAGAATAAAAGCAAGTACTATGGGATTACGGATGGAAGGTAGACCACATGAGGAGGATTAAGGTGGATGGCATTGATGGGGCCTGGGAGATGGATGGTGAGGTTATCAAGTGAGCATAGGTGAAATATCTGCCCAGCCCAAGGTAAATGAGGCAATTATAAAATCTAACAGTTGTCTGTGTCTTATTATTTGTGATAGTGGGTTAGATACTACCACTGTGATAATCTTAGGGCAAATAATAAGTAATATTTAGCCCAACGCTCATTATTTACAACAATACTTAGATTTCCAAGTTTAAAAACAGGCAAAATTGGCCCAGCAGATGGAGAAGTGGTTTGTTAATTTATTAATTAGAGTTTTTGTTAGGTGTTGTGATATTAAGAGTATGTATTATGTGTAGATTACATCTTCACCAAATTCATGTGTTAAAGCCTTAATCCTACCATTTCTGTACACCAAAAATACATTATTGAGATATGAAATGGCATGAGCTGGTTGTGGTGGCACACACCTTTAAGCTCAGCACTTTGGGAGGCAGAGGCAGGTGGATCTCTGTGAGTTTGAGGCCAGCCTGGTCTATGTAGCGAGTTCCAACACATCCAGAACTATGTGGAAAGATCCCTACTTCAAAAACAAACAAACAAACAGAAAGAAGACACGAAAAGGCAAACTATGAACTGGGAGAAGGAACTTGTAATTCTCACACAGGCAAACTATCATATCTAGAAAAAGCTCTCCTATAAATGAAAGGGATAAACAACCCATTTCCTAAAAGATGAGAAATGATCCTTTTATAAGGATACTCAAATGGCCAAAAAGCATTTGAGAAAACATTCTATGTCAGTTGAAAATTCAAAATAAATCCACAATGACCTAATACTAACCCTCCCAACAGAATTGCCCAAATGAACAAGACTGCTCTGTCAAGTGTTGTTCAGGACATGCAGCAGCAAACAGACTCTGCTCTCTCCTTTCTGGTAGGAATACAAACCCATTAGGAGGTGTGGCCTTGTTAGAGGGAGTGTGTGTGTGTGTGTGTGTGTATGGGGGCTTTGAGATTTCAAAAGCCCATTCTAGGCCTAAGCTTCTCTTTCCCCCCTCTGGATAAAGTTCTCAGCTACTGCTCCAGCATCTGCCTCCACGCCATCCTGCGCCCCACCAGGATGTTAGTGAACTAAACCTCTGAGACTGGAAACCAGCCCCCAGTTAAATGCTTGGTTTCCTAATAGTTGCTGTGGTCATGGCATCTCTTCATATTGCTAGACTACGTGACTAAGACCTCAGCATGGAGGTGTTAGCATTGCATACTGACGTCTCATTCAGGCAGCCATCAGGACAGTGGGGAGGGAAGGCACCCCAAGCTGTAAGCGATGAGAAGGGTGAAGGTAACCCTTCAGACGGCCACCTCAGACTATGCCTCTTTGATGTAACGGTTTTTAAGCTAACCAGCAGTTAAGAAGCATGAAAGCTGGTACATCCTCTCTCTAGATTCCCCTTCCCTGAGTAAACTCAGGCTATGAAACAGAGAGAGTGAGAAGCTTACTTCCCCTTTCCCTTTCTCTTCCCTTGACCACTATCTCTGGGTTTTGGAAGCCTGGGATTCTTTCATATGGTCAGTTCTTCCCATTTCCTGTTCTTTGTTACTTAAGCCAGAGTTCTAAGCAGCCATCCCATCCCCATTCTTTCTTTTCCAGTGTAGGGAATCAAACCCAGGGCTGTCCACATGCCAGGCAACCCACTCTCGCACTGAATTACTGAACGTAGTTTCTTGGAATCCCCACCCAGCGAGGCTCTCCCTAGCCCTGTGAACTGCACACACCAACAAACTTGCTTGTCTTTATTTTGTTACAGGGATATGTCCTAACTACGGGCTCTGAGAGTTGAGGAGAAATGGTATTTTCTTCCTGACAACAGTGCAAAGGACAGACGCTTAGGGGCAACAGCTGTGGGAAAAGAGCAAGAGAGGGGCTGAGGGCTGTTGAGGGGCGTGCAGTGATGGGGTGTGGGGGGATGGTAAGCGGATGCCAAGATTTGCAGGCTGGATGAGACTTCAAGGGAAGGATGCGGTTTGGAGACAGCTAGGCTGCCTTTGGAACTGTATCTCTTGGGACCCACGTGACACAGTGACAGTGTCTGAGGCAGTGATGGTTGGATTGTTTCCCTCACTCCAAAGCTATAACTTTGTTCAACTTCCCGGAGGCTCTGCTCTGTGTGTGAGCTGTATTGCCTGCGGGACCTGACTTCTCATCTTAAAGAGAAGTGGTCTATGAAGGCATTTGGTAAGTGCCTTCTCAGATGTAAATGCCTGCATGTTGCGAGAGGGCAAGCTGGAATGACCAGAGTCAACACCCATGGTTGCTTTGCGTCACGGTGGAACACCCAGCAGAGATTTCCCTGCAACACCGACATCCCTGCCCCTCCCCAGCCCATCACAACTTAATTACTGTGAAGCAAGAGGCAGTACTTTGATATTCAACATCCTGATTCTGGAACCACCACTTCTCTTTATTTTTCTCCAATATTAAATCATCCTTTCCTTTCCACTTGCCAGGATGTGCCAAACAGCCCTCTTTGGCGAAAAGTAGGATGACACTGCACCAAGCAACTATCATTTCATTGGTGAAGTGAATGAAGTTCAAGATACATATTTTTAGGCGGGTTAGAAATATCATACAGGCTTCCCAACCTTGCATTAGTGACACACCCAGTGTCTTACCCCAGGCTTAGGCAAATCCAGCATGTGTTAATTCTGATACAGACTCAAGGTCTTTTAATTTGTTGCTCATTGGATTGAGGGAAGGATGAGCCAGAGCTCCTGATTAATGATGAGGAACACCTGCAAGGCAGCTCAGACACATTGTTAGTTCGACCACAGAACCCATTTCAAGACCTCCTTTTGGCTGCTGCTGTGTCTACAATCTGTCGAACAGTCATCACAGATCCTGTACGAGAGGAGAGCATAGCTGCAACAGTGTGGAAAGAAACCACCAAAGCTGAGCAGGTGAAGGACGGGGGCTGTGAGGAAGAGGGGCTGGTGAGGAGGGCTGATGTTATGTCTACACAGTGGAGCTGAGGTCAACCGAAGGGGAGAGGTAGGAAAGAAAGGCTATCTGACAGAGAGGTCAGAATAGAGAGAAATGGGAATAAGAAAGCATTTTTGAATTAGTTGAAGCAAACTCAACTCTGTTATATAAACCTTCTTATTGTCCTTTCTTGTGGGTTGAAAAATGAGCTGGGAGCGACTAACCTTACAATACGGATTTCTGGTCAAAGTATTTCATTGTAACTCACACCCTGGGGGAGGAATGAGCCTATCTCAAGGTGGTGTTTCTACAGTGGAATTTATCTACTGTCATTCCTGTGAGAGTGTATGCTGGAGATAAATCTATGAACATTTTATTGTTTCGGTAGTCACTCTTAGTCACACTTCATCCTACTTATGAAGAACATCTTTGGGAGTCTACGATTTCCTATTTAACATAGTGCGATATAGCATTGTTTAACCTAAATTCATATGCTCTCTCAAATCGTGAGCTGATTTAAAGAAAAGGCATTTTTAATAAAAGTGACTGAGTATGCGTATGAGCTGTTTGTTCTTTGTGAGCTTGACAGAAGCTAGAGTCACCTGGGAGGAGGACGGAACCTCAATTCGAAAAATGCCTTCATTGGATTGGTCTGTGGGCAAGCCTGTGGTCTATTTCCTTGATTGATGATGATGTGAGAGGGTCCAGCTCACTGTGGGTGGGGACACTTCCAGGCATATGGTCCTGAGTTGTGTAAGACAGGCTGAGCAAGCCACGGGAAACAAGCCAGAGAGCAGCATTCTGCATCTGGTCCTGCCTTGAGCTCCCGCAGTGAGAAGAGTGTGGCCTGTAAGCCAAACAAACCCTGTCTTCCCCAAGATGCTTTTAGCCATGATATTTATCGCTGCAATAGAATGCAAAGACAGCGTATGAGTTATTTTTCATGTTTCTGGGACACAGTAGATGGAGTTCAAGGGAATGTGGGTTTGCTTTGCCTCACAGCTCCAGGTTTCAGGGGATTTCAGTCCACCGTGGCTATGGACATGGCTTAGCTCATGGCTGTGGGAGCATGAGGTGACTGGTCACATCATGGCAGCAGATGAGAAACAGAGAGCAGGAAGCAGAAGCAGGTAAAACCTTCAAGACCCGCCCCTAATAACCCACTTCTGCTGGGTTACCGCTCCCCCAAATTCTCTCAACCTTCCAAAACAGTGCCACCAGCTTGGGACCAAGTGTTCAAACACGGTGAGCCCATGGAAGGCACTCTATACTCAAACATAGACCATATCTATCCACATATCTACATATTGAAAAATAGAGCACTAACATTAGAACGCCTAAAGCTAGGGGAAACCTTCAAAGTTGTGCTCCATTTGGGTAGAGAGGTAAAGGGATTAATGAAGAGAACGATGTAATGGCACGGGACCCAAAGTCCTTAGAGTTCTCAGTCAAGGTAGCCTTGACGGCCAATGGTTCTCAACCTGTGGGTCACGACAGCATCACATATCAGATGTCCTGCAGTTCAGATATTTACGGTACGATTCGTAACAGTAGCAAAGTTACAGTTATGAAGTAGCAACAAAAATAATCTTATGGTTGGGGGGGGGTCACCACAACATGAGGAACTGTATTAAGGGTCTCAGCATAGGAAGGCTGAGAGCCACTGATTTTCTACAGAATTTTGTCTCAGCAAGAATATTCTTTAAAAACAGAAACAATCCCAGGAGAGGACTTTTATTTTACTTTGATGCTGAACGCATACTTAGCCGCTTTGAGCTATCCCCAAGAAACTTTCTTAACAGTATGGACAGTTTCAGAAGGAGCCTGGGGGGGGGGTTGTCTTGTGTGGCAGCTGCCGAGTGGGGAGGCGCACAGAAAATCTCGCTGAAGGAAGGCTAGCCAGGGAGCGCACATCTTATTAGTTATCATGGAGAGCATATCTTATTATCCAGGGAGGTTCAGGAAGTGAGCTGTGAGGTGAGGCTTCTGGGAGCTGGTCTTCATTGTCAAGAAGAGCACCTACACACATTCTCCAAGAGGCATGCTCCTCTTTCTGGGTCTGCCATTGTCCTCGGAAGACCACAGACAGGAGTGGGGCTCTTTTCAAGTGCGCTGTCTCAATCTGTCGTCAGCTACTGCTGACAGACAGCATTTGGGTAGAGAGAGGCCATTCCAGGGGTACAGAGGGAATAAAGACCATGTGGGTTCTCCCTGCTTCTTGTTAAGCAGGAGAAGTAAGTACCCTCACCATTAATAGAACTTTTATCAGTGCAAAGCACAATTTGTAACCCAAACCATTCTAACCAACACTTAAATTGGGCTACTGAGTTGACCAGCTAGACTATAGCTGTGAGAGCCCGGTATCCCAAACCCTAGCAGCTACTTTGGAACTGTTCCTGTGGTATACACCAGGTTGGCCTCCAACTCACCACAGAGATCTGCCTGCCTCTGTCTCCCTGAGTGCTGGGATTACAGGCGTGCACCATCGCACCCAGCTTCCCTCTCCATTTTTGAAGAGATGTCTTCTGGAGGATAATATGGCCTTTATTGGGAGCCCACCTTGGTGATAGCCAACCCATTCCTAAAATAATGACGTTAATCTAGGTTCGGGGTCAGCACCCTCATTAATAATCACTCGCTGGAGTACCCAGTGGAGTAAGAGGCACTGTATATTCCCTTGTCTCTTCACGGAAGTGAGGGAAGCTGCTCTTCAGCTGTGGCTTATTTCATCTTCCCCCAACTCGGTTCATGACAATGGAGCCCAAGAAGCCCCTCACTAGAATGATGACTGAGTACAAGATTCTCTTTTCTTTCCCTTTCTTGGAATTCCTCATGGGTCTGGTAAGCCTGTTTTTCCTTCTTCCCCCAGTAATTAATTGTTCCCTGCTCTTTAGGCAACAGTAATTGTTCCCTGCTCTAGCTTGGCTTTAAGTCAAACTCTGGTCTCTCCTGATTTCATGTCCCCATTCGTTTTCTTTTGAAAGCATCAAGCTTTTTTTTTTTTAATCTCGGTGCTTAATCAGCTCCTTCTCTATTTTTGAAGAGATGTTTTCTTGAAGATAATACACAGCAGGCCATTCTCATGTACTATTTTCCCGGTTAAAACTACCTTGCTTCCATCAATTCTGCTTCCCGATACTTTCATGCTCACAATCAGGTGGCTCTCCTTCAAGTGCGCTGTCTCCATGTGTCGTCAGCCGGCAGACAGCATTTGGATACAGAGAGGCCATTCCAGGGGTACACATGCACAGAGGGAGTAAAAAGACCATGTGTGGATACGGAGAGAAAGCGGCCGCAGAGAGAAGCCAAATCTGTCTTGACTTAGGGCTTCTATACTCTAGCGCTGTGAGAGAGACATGGCTGCCATTTAAGTTTCCATCTGTTGTGGCCTTTCATTAGAGCAATGGTTTTCAGCCTTCCTGACTGACCTGCTGCTGCTGACAGTGTCTGGCTACATCAGACACTGGAAGAGCTAGCCATAGGTCACACTCACAAGCAGATATGTGTGCTCTTGCACACCTACACACTACCATACGCACACACACACACATTCACACTCACACTCACACTCACACACTCACACAGTGGGCGGAATTGTCTCTTATTAGGGGCCCACTCCTGTAGTAGCTAACACATTCCGAAGACAATGACATCAATCCATGTTGAAGGTCAGCTCCCTCCTTAGAGGTTCTATTGAGTACTCTGGTAAAATCAAATTTCACCATTGTATTTGGAGAGGACAATCAAACCACGGTAAGGAAATATCTGTATATTTTTAATTGATACTCATTTATTTAAGGAATGGTGCAATTGAACTTGAAGCTTCGAGTGACTATTGCCTGGAATGGACTTCAAGATTCAACTTGGAAGAGAAAGCTCAGGTCAGCCTTTTCCTTGTTTGGTGGAAGCCCTGCCATTTCCCTTAATTCTCCTAGCTCTTCCACCCATAGTCACAGATACTGGATTCATGCTGTTTCTACTTGTCAGAGTGATGCCTTTCAGTTCCCTGGGATTTTTAACCCATGGGTAGTTGTTGGCATTTCTGTGTAACTACCCCACATCCCATCCTAACAGGACCTAGTGACCTGCTCCCATCCCCCGACCCAGCCTATTAGTTATTGGCAAACTCTTATCCCCCCCATTAGCTTAGGCAGGATTAAGTCACACAGCCCATTTTCTCATGTTGCTGAACCAACAGCGTTGGTCCAGCTGTGGGGCCTGTGAGTGTGTGTATATGTGCTATGACCTCATGTGTAGAAGCCTCGATTCCCAGTACCACAGGGAGCGAATGTGTTTGGAGGTGGGCACTTTGAAGAGGCAGCTAAGTGAAGGAGAGGCTGTTCTGTACGATGCCACCCAGCACGATGGCACTGGAGTCCTTTGAGGAAGAAGGTATTTGGCTACAGAGGGGCCATCCCAGGGGGCATGTGCACAGAAGAAAGAAAGACCATGTGTGGATTCAGAGAGACAGTGGCCACATAGGCCCTGAGAGAAGCCAAATCTGTCTATGCCTTGACTTAGGACTTCTATACTCTAGCACTGTGAGAGAGACATGGCTGCCATTTAGGTTTCCGTCTATTGTGGCCTTCTGTCAGATCAGCAGCTCTCAAACTTCCAAATGCTTCGACTCTCTAATCCAGTTCCTCATGGTGTGGTGATTCCCCAACCATACAATTATTTTTGATGCTACTTCATAACTGTAATTTTGCCACTGTTGCGAATCATAAAGTAAATGTGTTTTCTGACGGTCTTAGGCAACCCCTGTGAAAGGACCATTTGACCCCCAAAGGGGTCATGACCTACAGGTTGAGAACCGCTGCATTAGACTAACATAGTACAGCACTGAACGATTCTAGTCAGAATCTCGGAGTTCTCTTACTTGGGTGCTGGGCCCACCTGACTGTCTACCTTTGTGTGTAAATGCTGATTGTGCTATGGAAGATAGAAGATGGAGTCTGAGAATAAAGAAAACAGGGACGGAAAGTAGCTGCATCAAGCCTGCCCTGGCCCTTCCCCTTACGCAGGCCAAGCCACGATCCTTATTCTTGACCTCGTTTTCCTCAGCAGCAACACGAGGGCCCCAGCTGAGGCGTACATTTTGTGTTTCCAGGCCAAGAAATATGCTGTATTGATGAAATTTTGTAAATAGGCCTCTGTGTTTTATAAGTCTAGATTCCTCGAGGCAAACAAATTATATTGCCCCCAAAAGGAAGGGAAATGAATCCTTAGTGTTTTGAGAGTTGGAAAGAAAATGAGCCAGATTTCAAGCATGGATTTTCGCTATGGAACTGCAGGCCTGGGCGACAGCGACGCTGAAGGAGTCCTCCAGACGACACAAAGGGTTTGTGAAAAGACCAGACTTTAGGGCAACTGAGGCTTGGGGTGGAGGCCACTGAGTGGGTGAGGAGGCCTGACCCCCGCCCCTCCCCGCCAGGCTGGCTGCACAGGGCTTTGTTAAAATGCAGATTCCCAGGCACACAGCAAAGTGGCTGAATTAAGATCCCTGAGTGTATGGCCTGGGGACAAGCGTATTCGGAAGCTTACCAGCTGAGTCATTGCTGAGTATGCCTAGCGTTAATTAATTTCCCTAATTAACTCCCCAGCCTGGCAGGAAAATGCCTGAAAACAGATGGCAAGGAAGCCTGGGTCAAGATTCTAGCTGAAGGTCTGTGAGATGGCTCAGTGGATAGAGGGCCTTCCACCAAGCCCCACAAGCTCAGTGTAAGTTCCCTGGGACCTACAGGCTGGAAGGAGAGAACCAACTTCTGAAAGTTGTTCTCTGACCCCAACATGACCCTCTTGCATGCTTGAGCTCACTGAAGGGCAGGCGCGCGCGCGCGCGCACACACACACACACACACACACTAAATAAATAAACAAAATAGTGAAAATATTCTATCTGATCTGGGGCTCATGCATCACTTTGGGTGTGTACTTATGGACGAGGCTCATTAAAAATCCTGAGTCGGGATGGACCTCAAAGTAGTTCAATTACCAAAGCATCTGGTGGCAGGACTACCTTTTGTGGTACCAATGACCTAAGTCATTAGATTACCCAGCTTCCACAGGGAGGCAATGTGGCATGATGGTATGTGGCCCCACATACTGTCAGACCTTCCTAGGGCTGTGTTATCAGTCACATGGATGGAGTGACCCATCTCATCTCAGAGGGTACTCCTCCTTCTCCTGCCTCCACCAGTTAAAGTATGCCTGGAATGCTGGGGGGAGGAGCTCTACGACTTACCACAACTGTCTAAGAGTGAAACCTGGAGCACTGAGCTAGTCAGGCTTCTCCTAGATCAGGCAGCAGAGAGATGAGAAGCACTTGGCCTTGACCTTTACCCTGGATGCTCTCTGGGCTGCAGATCCTCATGGGACCCACCTGATTCTTCTGTTATCGCATTAAGTCCTGTGTGTTCTCCATGCCAAAAAGCAAGGTAAATCAGACAGCAGCAAATGCTGGAAGAGTGCCAAGGGCGAGGATACAGGCTGGAACTGGGAGATGTGGGCTCCGTCCAGCTGTCCTATTTCCACAGTGCACTGCTGGGTCATTTCATGATCCTCTCTGGCACTTGTTCCTTATCTCTAAAACACACAGAGGCTCCTCACAGCACAGATCACCGTCCAGAATGTCGAACTTGCCTTTTGCTTGCCAATTTAAGCATGTGTGATAATATACAGGCAGCTTGGAAAAGCTTGCCACATCAAATAAATCGCTGACCTCTGACCCCACGAAAGGATCAGCTAATAATTCCCTCTCATAGATTTATGTAATTTTGGAGACCCCCCCCCCCCCATCCAAGAGTGAAAAATGTGTTGTTTTATTGGTATTAGGACTTTATGGCTGAACTTCTCCGCTTCACTCATAGAGAGGAGAGCTATATAAACAAATGAAGGCCCAGCCCCATAATTGTTCCTGTTTGAGTTAACACATTAGTTAAAAGAGAAGCTGCCCCGGCTTCAAGGTGCTCCCTCCGCACAGATATTTATGGGTATATTTTTGTGAAGCCTCGATCTCCTTCCTGTGCTTGCAGGAGTTTTCATTTCAGGTGTCTAGCCCTGTTGAACAATCCATAACCCTCAACTTAACCACTAGTAATTTCCATGGGGATTCATTTATAACCCTCATCTTAGCCCATTATCCTATTTTTTTTTGGGGGGGGGGAGATAATATGATTTTATTGCACTCTAAGAAACATGTTTCAGAGAAAAGCAAATAATAGACATGGTAAGCACACAGAATTGAGTTATGCTGATAACGGCTTGCTTGGAACACATCTGATGGTCCAGAATAGCCGTGGTTTCCAGGCAGTTAAATTTCAAGTGTTCAAACACCCCTCCTCTCCATGGCTAATTTTTCTTTTCCTCTCAGAGACCGACACTCGCAGCAAAATTATATACAATCTGCGTTATTGCTGAGTACCTGGACAGAGGCCATCTCCTTGGCTGCGGTGTGCTGCAGGGGGCGTGGCCCTCCAGGTGAGGAGGGGGCTCTGCCTTGCAACTCTCAGCTTTCCACAGCTCTGACACAGATCTGGCCTCGGAGGGGAGAGGAGCGCAGCTTGGCTCTTTCCAGAGCATGGGTGTGGGAATGGGAGATGGGGATGGGGAGTGCAGATGAAAAACAGCAGTGTGGGTGGGGCAGAAAGTAGGGATGGAGGATGGGGATTGGGAGTGGGTACAGGAGAGTGGGGGTAGAGAGTGGGAGTTGGGAATGGGGGTAAGGGGTGTTGGGTGTAGGGTGGGGGAGGGAGTGGCAGGGTTTGGGACAGGCTCCCTTACTCTCGCTCTCTCCAGCAGGAGTCCTCAAACTCCAGGGTGCATTGGGTTGACCTGAAGGATGACAGGCTTGGTAGAGTGGTGAGTCTCAGCTTCCATTACCAGAGTTTCTGATTCAAAAGATCTCTTCTGGAGACAGGAAAGCAGCTTTTAACCCTGTGTGTCAGTGAGGTCTCTCTCTCTCTCTGTGTGTGTGTGTGTGTGTGTGACTGTGATGTTTAGTGGACAAATAAGTAGCGGTTAATATTTGAAACACTCTAACTGGGAATGTTGATTTGAAGGAGTAGCCTGGGCTTTTTAGAACACCCTATCTGAAGTGGTATGAGGGGCTGGAGGGATGGCTCAGCAGTTAAAAGCCTGTACTGCTCTTGCAGAGAACCCAAGTTCAGGTCCCAGCACCTGTGTCTGGCGAGCTGGCGAGCTACAGTTGCCAGCTGGTGAACTCCAGCTCCAGGAAATCTGGAATCTTCTGGCCTCTGCACGTATTGCGGTAACACAGACCCACCACACACGTACAAAAACAAAGATAACAAAGTTCATACGTGTGTGCTATGGGCCAGACACGGTTCTTATATACTCCTCTACTTCCAATCAACACTGAAAGCTGAGTTAATTCCTGTTATGGTGCTGGATGACAAAGGCCACCATAGGCTCTTCGGTTTGAATGTTTGGTCCCAAGTTGGTGGAACTGTTTTGTAAGGATTGGGAGGTATGGACTTGGTGGAGGAGGTAGATCACTGTGGGTTGGCTCTGAGGTTTCAAAAGCCCAATCTATTTCAGGTATATCTCTCTGCCTTGTGGTTGGTTGTCCAATGTATAAGCTCTCAGCTACTGTTCCATTACCATGCCTGTCTGCTGCCATACTTTCCACCATGATGGTTATGGACTCACCCTCCAAAGCTATAAGCAAGCCCCCAATTAAATACTTTCTTTTTATCATTTGTCTTGGTCATGGTATCTCTTTATAGCCACAGAGCAGTGACTAAGACAATTCCCATAAGAATAAATATTATAGGTAACTTTTCATCGGTAAAATGAGCAGACATGCAAGATGTGTACGTAAGATGGGCATGTAGCTCAGTGCAGAGTTCTTGCCTAGCATATTTGAGGCTCTGAGTTCAGTTCCCAGTACAGAAAAAACAGAACAAAACACAGAATGATTTTCAGATCAATTGGAAAAATTTGCACATATAGTTCAGCCTTGCCTTAACTCATTGTCCTTCTGTAAGCTAAGGCAAATCCATAATGGTCTCTTAGTGCAAATGCAGGCCTAGTACATTCTTTTCCATTGATTGGAGAGCAGGTGCCTGGGGCACTGATTAATCTGTGTCATTAATATAATACCTGCAAGGCAGGTCCATGGCATTATCCAGACCAAAGGATATAGGGAGGGATTTAATTCTTTGGTAGCTATTATGTTTACATTTCAACTTTGGGAGGTGGGAAGGGATCACATTTCTTATAAGTGAGAAGAGTTAGACTGTCAGCAGTGAGAGAGAGCTGAGATTAAAAAAGAACCCCAGAGTTGAACAGTGAGGAAAGGGCTGGGTTGGGGTATCTGCTGGATAAGTGTGTATGATAGAGGTCAAATGAAGAAAAGGGGCAGGAAACAGACTTTTGAAAAATAGGTCAGGATGCAGACAAATAGGAATAAAAAAATATTTTTTGTTAATTGAAAAGAACTCAAAAGCTTTTCTGATAATTCTTTCTTGTAAAAATAACAAAATCTACTTGGGGCAACGATCCTTGGAACAAGCATTTTTGGTTAGGGCATTCTAAACACTGTTTGCTCATGTGTACATAAAACCTAATGGAAGTCTTTGGATCTTGCTGGAATTCAGGCTAAAATACATCAGTGCTCAGACAATGATTTTTTTGTATGTCTCCAAAAGTATAGGCAAAAAAGTAAAAAATAGACAAATGGGATTGCATCAAACTAAAAAGCTTCCTATAGTTCAAAAAGACAATCAACAGAGCAAAGCAACAAATCTCAGAGAATGAGGGGGGGGGAGAGAGGGAGAGAGGGAGAGAGAGAATTTGCAAAACAAATCCAGAAAAGGCCACTGTCCAAAATATGTAAGGAACCAACTCAATAGTAAGAAAATAGAGCAATTCAAAAGTAGACAAAGCACCCGAATGTTTCCTCCAAAGAATGAATAAACATGACCAGTAGAAAAAAAAAATTAAACACCATTAGCTATCAGAGAAATTCAAATTGCATCCATAGGGAGATGCCATGTCACCCCAGTTACAATGGCACAAGTGAGACATGTGGGCAAGGATGTGGAGAAAAGGAAGTCCCTGTACGCAGTTGATGGGAATGTAAATCATACAGCACACAGCACAGTGGGAGCTGGGTGTAGCTGCACACACCTGAAATCCCTAGCACTTAGGAGGTTGAAACACGAGCAACAGTTCTTCTGACAACAAACACAAAAGATGTGAAGTCAGTGTGTCAAACTATGTGTTTGTGTGTGTGTGTTCACTGAAACACTATTCACAACAGCCAAGATACAGAGACAAACATCAGTGAATGAGTGGATAAAGAAAATATGATGTATCTGTGCAGCAAAATATTATCCGTTCTTGACAAATAAAAATGTTTAGGGCTGGGGAAAGAGCTCAGTGGTTGAAGCACTCGGCATACAAGCATAAAGACTAGACTTTAGGTCCCCAGGATCCATATAAATACTGTGTGGACATGACAGTTCACCTATAATTCTAACCAATGAAGGTAGAGACAGGAGCCACAGAGCAAGCTGGCTTTGACTAACTAATCTACAAGCTCTGGGTGTGATTGAGAGACCCTCCCTCAATGAATAAGGTGGAAGAACAACTGTGGATGATTTCAGGCATCAACCTCAGGCTTCCATATGAACAAGCACCCATGTGCACGTACCCCCTACTTGTGCATTCACACACATGTAAGCATGCAGGTATCATATGTGCAATACAACACATACAACTAAAGAAGAAAGAAAGAAAAAGGTTCTCTCCTTTGTAATAATAGGGTGGGCATTACGCTAAATAAAACAAGCCAGACAGAATTACACACAGGGGTGGGAGCTAAATATGGAAACTGAAAAGTATTGATTCTAGAGACTAAGAGGTGAGAAGTAGAGACAGACACGCTGGTCGAAGGACACAAAGCGGTGTTTATACAAGATAAAATCATCTCTCTGTGTGGTGTGTGTCACATAAGTGTGACAGCGTGTGCCCATGTGCATGAATGATGAAGTGAGCGGAGGATGTCGGCTTACTCCTATCCATCTCCCCTGAACCAGAATGTCACTGATCTTTCAGCTAGCCTGACTGCTTATCAGGTCCCCATGGAACTTCTCCCTGCTTCTTTTGGGGTTGGAGGCACACACGCAGCTATGACTGGTCTTATATGTAGGTGCTGGGGTCCAAATGCAGGTCCTTGTCACTAAGCACTTGTAAGATAAAATTAAACAAACAAAAACCAGCAGTTCCCAGCTCAATGACTCTTGAGAGGACCCCAAGTGTGAGTGTTATCAGAAGGACCCTAGGATACCTGTATGAGGCTACCTACCTCCATGCATGCTCATATGTAACTTAACACATGTCAAATGGCTGGAGGATTCTCCCACGTGTTTACATTCTACTTTGTTCTCTGCAGACAAAGTCATTGCCACCAGGAAATTCTCTGAGTTCCATGATTTTAAATCACATCTATTTTATATCCTTTGGTCTCTCCCAGTTACACCTGTTTTATATCTGTCTCATCAACTCTTTCTAGTTGGCTCGCCACACCTAAAGGCCCCAGACACAGTGCTGTTCTCAAGCAAGCCTGCTCTATCTCATGTTTCTGCTGTGGTCATTGGCACTGCCATTTTTTTCCCACAGTTGAAGGTCTTATCACTGTTGTCAACAGAATACTATCTTGTGCCCTGCTGGATTCCTATGACTGCTGTAATCCTTGCTCTCCTCTCTCTGATGGGATATTCTAAGCAGAGCAACACAGTGCTGGGACTGGATTGATGAATATGATTGTGTAAATCTATAAAAATTCCACCCCCCCAACGGTTTTCTCTTAAACTTAACATTCAAAATCTTTATTGCAGCCAAGAGGCCCCAAAAGAGCGGCACCCTACCCGTTTCCCTAAGGTCATCTTCTCCACTCTTTCTGCCACATATTATGCTGTCCTTTGAACGTGTGAAGTTTGCTTCACTTTGGAGCCTTTACAAAAGCTGCTGTCTGTGTCTCAAGGGGTGGGGGGGAGTCCACCTTACATGTCCATGCTGGCTCTTCTTCACAGTCTTGGGTGCACTCTTGTCACAAAGGCTTTGAGTAACTTACAGCCTCTCTTTTGTGGCATTCAGTCTTGTAATATACTATCCCTCTTTCCACTTTCTTCCTCTCTCCTCCCCTCTATTCGTTCCTGGAATTTGTTGTATAGCCCAGGCTGGCTTTGGCGTTTCTGACCTCTTGCTCAGCCCCTCACTTCTAGGATCACAGATGTGTGCCACCATAGCCGCTCTTCTACTCTTCCATTAAGAAAAAACAAACAAACAAACAAAAAAAACAAATCATTGTTCTTGAGGTAAGTTCTCCTTATATAACCCAGGGTGACCTCAAGCTCATGCTCCTCCTGCCTCTACCTCCTGTGCTGGGGTTACAGGCATGTGCCACCATGATCAGCTTCAAAATATTCTTATCATCTATATTTATTACGTATGCTATACTTTGCACTACATAGGAAAATAAGTTAGAGAATTCTCTTATGTGTCACTTAGCATATACTACGTTTCTGTGTATAAGAAAACCTAAAATCATAGAAAATTTCCACCGCACAGCACAAAGAACCAGTCCTCACCGTGTATATCAGTGCTCTATATTCTTAAACAGCTTTACCTCCCTTCCACCACCTCTTTCCTTAGATAGGAGATTAGTAGGGAAAAGGTCTGTAGACCTCTTTAGTCTACTTCCTGCTGATCAGGGTGATTGGGTTTGTTGGGGTTATAACAATCTGTTGTCAGGATGCCAGCAGTCCAGGCAAACAGCAAAGCAGCAAACCACAGCAGGAGCAGAAAACAGTAAGCAGCAGAGGTGGTTCCACTCAGCAGAAGGGGCAAGACTCCACCCAAATGGCTCTACTCTGCTGAAGTGGCAAAACTCCTTCAAAGTAGCAGGAAAAGTTCTCTGGAGCATTTCTCTCTGTGAAAATCAGCAAAGCAATGCAAACCATTGCAAACTGAAGAGATGCAAAAAACACTGCCTAACTGTCTATGGGCTTTTATCTATCCATTCTCAGGCTCCACACAAGGCTGTTTTCCACCTCAAAACAAAAACAAAACCCACACCTCTCACACACCAGGTAGTTTCTAGCTGACAAACACCATGCATGTGCCTTTTCACAAGGGCTGTTTTCCACAGGAGTGAGTGCACCGGTGAGGGGACATTCCCACATCCCACACTTGGGACCAAAACAAAAACATGCTCACATGACACAACTGAGTTTCCAAGGAAACCAGAAATTCCCACTTCAATTTTGTTTTTAGTCTCTGAATAGTCTTCATACTGGTTTTCCCTGATGGCTATCCTAATTGACATTCTCACCAACCATGAACAAAGGTAAACCATCTCTTCACAGCCTTTCCCTCACTTCCTATCTTTTGTTGTTTTGGGAACAGCCGCCTGGGGAGAGGCACTACCTCACTTCTGCCTTAATCTGCATATTCCTGAGGATTAGTGATGTTGGACTTTTTTTTTTTTTTTTGTTTGAACATGGACCTGTTGGAGTATCTCTGCTTACTTTTAAATTGATCACTTTCTTGCTATTGGGTTGAGTCCCTTGTGTATTTTGGATATTAGCCTCTTAACTAAGATTTACAAATGTCTTCTTCCATCAGGGGGCTGTCCCTCCTTTGTCGCCGGCCTCATCTTCAGTGTGGAAGTTTTTGATCACACTGTAGAC